AAAAGCTGGAAGTGGCGCTGTGGCTCAAGTGGTAGAGCGCTAGCCTTGAGCTGAAGAGCTGAGGGACAGCGCCCAGGCCCAGAGTTCAGGCCCCAGGACCGGACCCAAAAACAACAACAAAAAAAAACCAACCATAGAGTGCTGGTTGCTGGTGGCTGACACCTGTAATCCTAGCAACTTAGTTACTTAGGAGGCTGAGATCTGAGGACTGAAGTTCAAAGCCAGCCAAGACAGGAAAGTCTGTGCAACTCTTCAGTTAATTACCAAAAAGCCACAAGTAGAGCTATGACTCAAGTGGTAGAGCACTAGCCTTGAGCAAAAAAGCTCAGGGACAGCACCAGGGCCGTGAGTTCAAAACCCAGAGGAAAAAAAATCAGAACCACATATGTATTTCATTTTCACAAGCTGGGGCGACGTTGGGCTGGGAAGATTATACTCATCCCAGTGGAAGGTCCAGATGCCTGGAAGAGGCCAGGATTGGGGGGAGGGGGAGAGGTGCAGGGAGGCCAGAAGCAGCCTAGAATCTGGGCTGAATTTCACTGCTCTCATCTTAGCCCTGGCCAGAAAGCAGCCAAAAAAACCTCCGTCCTGTCCTCCCTGAGGCCCAGGCTGCTTTGGCTTTCTATGCCCTGGGGCCCCTAGCCTCCACTCCCAGCCTGGTCTGAACCCACTGAGGGCTTGGCCTCAGATGGCCGGACAGGGATGGCTGTCACTCGCTGGGGGCCTGGGGGCCGGGGTGAATGCAGATCCTTGAACTTCCAGGGCAGACTCCCGGAGCCGCTCAAAGCAATGTCTTTTGTTGTTGTTGGGGCGTGGTGGTGATGGTAGAGAAGGCATGTGTGTGTGTCCTGGGGCTTGAACTCAGGGCCTGGGCGCTGTCCCGGCCTGAGCTTTTCCCCCTCAGTGCTGGCGCTTCACCACTTGAACCACAGCTCCACGTCGGGCTTTGTGCTGGTTCACTGGAGATGAGAGTCTCACAGACTGTCTCGCCTTGGCTGGCTTGGAACCGCGATCCTCGGACACGGACCTCAGCCCGGGAGTGGCGGGTCTCCCCGCGGACGGAGCCGCGTGGCCCGGCGTCCACCCCGGGGAGGGGCCGGGGCCTCGGCTCGGCACATGCACGGGGGAAC